CAAAACCCAAGCGCATTGCCATGAAACACCTGTAGAGACTAGCCACGTCGTAAGTATCCAAAAAACCGATTATATCCTTTACTGTACTAACCCAACCTACTACCAAGCTATTCTTTTTATCCAAGTCTTTTCTAACAACCCATTCAATTACGAGTCCAACCATACTAGTTTCACTCAAATCCGACTCCAATTCGATGTTCAAAACTCAACAATTCATATTATGAAACTTTCGGCCAAAACCCCCAATTTTCTCTTTAAAATTCACAATCAATTATCAAAAACGAATGTAGATTCATGAAATATAACCAAAACCGAGTAGAAAACACTTACCCCAATCCTTGTGATGAAAATTAGTCCAAAACGTAGCTCAATCTGAGCTCCATAGCTCCCAAAATGAAGAAAGAACTAAAACCCTCGATAATATAGCTTCTGCCAAGCGATTTCGCATTTGCGGACAACTTGTCGCATCTGCGACCACCGCTTTTGCGGTAAAACTTCGAGTCTGCAAAAACAACTGACCCATCAATCCGTCGCAACTACGGCCTTTAAGCCGCTTCTGCGATCGCGCTTCTGCGCACTTGAACCGCATCTGCGGTTGCGCAGGTGCGTCCAAGCACCCGCACCTGCGATCCTCATGCCTAGCTCCCCTTCACGCTTCTGCGACTCCTCTGTCTCTTCTGCGATCATCTCACCTGCGCAAACCAGCCACAGGTGCTATCACACCAGAACCAGCAGCTTAGCAAAAATCCAAAAATGCAATGAAATGATCTGAACCTCGTCCGAAACTCACCCAAGCCCCTCGGGACCCCGTCCGAATATGCCAACAAGTTCCATAACACAATACGGACCTACTCCAGACCTCAAAACACACATAACAACATCACAACAATGAATCACATCTCAAATCAAAATCTACGAACTTTAAACTATAAACTTTCACAACCGATGCCGAAACCTATCAAATCACGTCTGATTGACGTCAAACTTTGCACACAAGTCCCAAATGACATAACAAAGCTATTTCAATTCCCGAAATCACAATCCGAATCTGATATCAAAAAGTCCTCTCCCGGTCAAACTTTTTAAAAATTCAACTTTCGCCATTTCAAGCCAAATTCCACTACGGACCTCCAAATCACAATCCGGACGCGCTCCTAAGTCCAAAATCACCCAACGGACCTACCGGAACCATCAAGACTCCGTTCCGGGTTCAAATTTATAAAAAGTCAAATTTGGTCAACTCTCCCACTTTAAAGCTTCAACAATGAAATCTATTTTTTCAATTCGATTCCGAATAACCTGAAAAATCAAAACCGACGATTCACATTAGTCATAATACATCATACAGAGCTACTCATGCTCATAAACTATCGAGCGAAGTGCAAATAATCAAAATGACCGGTTGGGTCGTTACAATTATACTAGCTCAGGAGTATGAAACTTGACATTTATTGATCATGCCCATGTGTTCGTGTATTATCTGTTTCCATGTTGATATTGAGTCTGCGATCATGCCGGACGGATTGTGATTGTGAGCCTATGATCACGCCGGACGGATAGTAAATATGAGCATGTGATCATATCGGGCGGATTGAAATATTGGTATGTGAGTTGCTCGTGCGGTGGTGATTCGAGATGTGGGCACGAGGTGCCGTGAGTACATGATGGTGGCTTGAGACACTTGTAACTATGAGATGAGGTATCACGGGGGTGCTTTTTATGAATCTTGTGTTAGCACGACTTGATTAATTGATTGTCCTTTGTGTTGATTATTTGGTTTCAACGATACTTCTCGGTGTTCTTGTTAATTTACTGTTTATGTTGATTTTGTTGTCATTTACTGATTTATGTTTTCCACTATTAGCTTTATACTTCTATACTGCACAAGTTACTTTGTCTAATGAGTGTCTTGACTTGTACCTCGTCACTACTCCATCGAGGTTAGTCTCGATATTTACTGGGTACCGAACATGGTGTACTCATACTATCTTTCTACACATTTTTCTGCCGATCGAGGTACTTCGGAGTTTGTGGATTGTTAGATAGCGGATCAGATATTGCTGTGGAGACTTCAAGGGATACCTGACATTGTGTTCGCAAGCCTCGGAGTCACCTTCAGAAGTTATTTATATACAGTTTATTTCTATTCCGGAACAGATGTACTTAAAGATTTCTAGCGAACTTAGTAGAGCTTATGACTTGTACTACCAATTTTGGAATTGTTGGCTTTGTATAGAAATTTATGTTTCATATTTAATAGTTATTGGTTGAATTTTTTTACTTATTTAATAAGTTTTAGGCTTACTTAGTCTTAAAGAATAGGTGTCATCACGACATCCTACGGAGCGAAATTAGGGCCGTGACAACTTCCCTAACAAAAACTATTTCTGTGATAGTCTTAGAAGACTTTTATGAGATTAAAGATGTGAACAAGTCATGATCTCTCATGAATATTGAATATACGAAAATCATAGCTAACAAAAAATATACAATAATACAACTTGATGGCTCAAAGTTCAATATCATAATATACTATTGAAGTCTATGGTTCCTATCATTACATTATAGCTTATCTTATGAATGATTTTCGTTTCTAATTTGCAAAGATAATATTAGAAAGTTTACTGCGCCTAAAAGTCAAACAACGCCAACATGTTGTTTATTGGTGAATTAGTTGTCATACTACTTTGTAAGAACATGAATATAAATTGTTTAGACTACTTAATTAATTATTCACTCATTCATTGAATGATGAAGCTAGTCAACAATAAAAATAATGGTTGGCAGCCTTGATTGGGTAATTTCATACATGTTTGGAAACAAAAAGGGGAGTTGACCTTAATATATATCTATATCTATCTATACTATATTAAAAGCACGAAAACCCTATAATAAAATATCGTTCGTCTTTTTACCCTTTTAAAATTGAGTTCATACTGGACAAAATAGTCATTTTATTATTTTCCTAAATTTAGGAATAGTTATTTATATAAAAATCCCTAATATTTAGGAAATTAATCTTTTCCTTATATAAATTTTACTTATATAAGTCCTTCCTTATTTCAACTAGGTAGAAAATATTAATCCATACTATAATTAAACTAGGATCCTTCAACAATATTATCTACATTATTATTAAAGCATGAATACAATGTTGGTTTACAAAAATAATCTTATAATATTAACTATAATAACTTACAATAAAAAGAAATAATCGAAAATCGAGACATAAGCCTTGTAATCCTATTAGTTTTAGGACACAATACTACACATTACATTAGAAATCGTACACGATTACCTTTAGAAATCCTATTAGTATAATTCCTTTCGAGAATAGACATATAATACTACATGTTAGCATGTAAATGTAATACCTCTAAGAACATGTTAGCTTTCCTATTAGTAAAGTTACTTTCGGAATATAGACGTACTTTTAGCCATGTAGTGCTATTACTTTTAGGATATACTTCTTAAAAATTCCTATTACTAATTTAATTTGAAAATATATTATATTGTCCTATTACTAATTTAATTTGAGAATGTATTATATTGTCCAAATTTATTTAGAAAATGAAGAGCCTATATTATTATTATTATAAAAGTATAAATATAATATTAATATACCAAAATAGTTCTAAAATATAAAACAGAAGAACTATTAGAGAGAGGAAAAAATTGCAATAACCTATTTTTTTTGGACTATAACACCTATTGACATCTAATTTTGTCCCTCCTTTCTTCTAATTTATTTATTTGAGCTTCTATATCATTAGTATATCAAATGTGCTACTTTAACTTATTTTATAACAATATAAGGTCAATTTTTCATATTCATTTATTATTTTCTCTATTACTACTCTTGTTACTATTTTCTTATTATTCTTATTATTACCTTCTAATTACTATTACTACCACTACTACATTTATTATTATTATTATTATTATTATTATTATTATTATTATTATTATTAAAAGCCATCTCACTCATGCATTTACGAGATTGTTTTTTAGAGTTGATCAAGCAAGTTATACTTTTCATCATAATATATTTAGTTTCCCATTGCATTAAATCTACTTTTATTTTACAAATATTTATTTGAGCATCTTCCTACTTATAGGCCACGATACTTTAGCAACTTATTTTAGTACATAGCTTTTATTCATATGGTCTTCTTGCTTTGATCAATAATTAATATTTACTTCTTTTTAGCTAACATATTATTAGAATTTTAACAAATAGATATATCTTGAAGAGAAGCCCAATTATATAAAAGAAGAAGGAAAAAGTCCATCCTTCTCTAACCCAAAAATTCACAACCCATCAGATTATCCCTAACCCATTAATCCCTTTACTAATAACCCATTAATACCCAAAACCCTTCACTCAAAATTCTTACTCCCAGAACCCATGACCAACTCAAGTCAACCCTTTCCAATTCCCCTTCGTTCAAAACCATACCGGCAAATTCATCTCGTTTCTTCCTCATATGATTTATTATATTTTAATTTTTTTTCTATGTCCTTTCTTACTTTATTTTCCTTACTTATCTTCCTTATCGAATCCGTAAAGCAATTGATTTTTTACCTTAATTATGAGCCAATATAATAGCTTTATTTTTAGTCAAAATTGCCGACGCGCCTGAAGATTCACCTACTCTTCTTCCCATTCACAGGTTCGGACTTATCAGTTGAATGTAGACAGGTTTGAGGTAGGCGTTTCATTTGTTACTGATTGGATTATAATTTTGGAAGTTCAATTACATATATTTCTCTCATGATTTTCAGTTCAAATTCCACTGATTATGGGTAAGTATTTTAGTCCTTTTTTGTTAAAATAATCACCAGCAGCTCTTCTTCCCTATTTCAATACTCAAATCTCGCCCCAATCCTCGAATTCCTTGTTGACAAAATTCTTTTTTTT